CTAGATGCCAGAATATGGAAACTAAGTTTACACTATGGATGCACTTTCTTTGTTTTTTCTCATTTGCTTTACTTTGCAAATGAAATTGGGCTTTGTTATATTGCATGTCACTTAAATTTATTTCTCATTTGCATTTATTGTGTTTTATGCTTGTCTTTTTGTTAATTAACTAAAATTTAGTTTCAGGTCCGGAAAATGGCATATATCAAAGGAAATTCTGTTCCTCATGCAAACCTTGGTGTTCTTGATCAACTTATAGCTTCCCGCCATGAGCTTGCTCAGGTTTCTCTCTCTCTCTCTCTCTCTCTCTCTCTCTCTCTGTGTTGTTTTATAATATGTTGAGAAGGCTTTCCACACCTGTGTGGACTCAGGATCAAGAACATTTTCCCTTCTAGACTTGTATGTCATTTGAGGAGTTACTTTAATGCAGATCTCTTGTGATCTTTTGTAGACATCTATAGTTTGTAGGAATTGTCTGATTTGAAACGTAGTGGATATGGCTTGATGTAGGGTCTTTTTCTGTTGTATTTGTACTTATGGGTATGCTTTGTTCTTATTGTTGAATGCAGATAATGGGTTATAGATCTTATGCTGAATTCACTGTTAAGCCTAATATGGCTTCGTCACCAGAAGTTGTGATGTCTTTTTTGCTAGAGATGAGCAAGATGGTCAAACCCAGCGCTGATGAGGTAATATGTTATTTGTAGTGTTTAAAAGTATTGCTACTCTTTCATTTTGACTATAGATCACACTGCAGGTTTTATCTGTTAATGATGTTACTTTTACTTCAGGAGTTTAAAAAAATTAGGGATTTTAAAAGAGAAAAATGTGGTCAGCAATATGGAGATTTAGAGCCATGGGATGAGGCATATTACACCGCAATGATGAAGTCTTCTGCCCATGACTTGGACTCTTCGGTATGCTATGCTCCCATGTTTGCTTTTGAAGTAAAGAACTGATAACTGCAATGTTTACTTACTACGATGCTTGTGGAATACCATCTCTTTGATTTACTTGTTAATGCATCATATTGATGGCAAGGGAAGTTTTCTTGACTCTCTGTCTCTCTCATGCAGGTTGTAGCGTCGTATTTTCCTCTGCCTCAATGCATTAAGGGTTTGAAAGTGCTGGTGGAGTCATTGTTTGGTGCCACGTTTCATAGCATCCCCCTAGCACCAGGTGAATCATGGCACCCAGATGTGCTTAAAATGTCACTTCATCACCCCGAAGAGGTATTTACATGGATGATAATACGTGTGAATGTCTTCAGTCTGTGTTATACAGTCTAAGAGAATTCCTTGCAGCATTGGGAATGCTTCAATTACATGTGTAATTAAATTCGTGCATGATTGTACTGATTTTGTCTTCTGTGATTTTCACGTATATTGATTAGAATCTATGCACTTGTTACAGGGTGATTTGGGGTATCTCTACCTTGATTTGTACTCAAGGAAGGGCAAGTATCCTGGTTGTGCTCATTTTGCAATTAAAGGTGGCCGCATGGTTTCTGAAACAGAATATCAACTTCCTGTATGTAAATAGACATTTTTTCTCCTGTCAAATTTTATGTTGCACATTTACGCATTTTTAAAGAGTATACTTTATAATTCTTAGCTAGTTGGATTCTTCAAAATGGAACGAAAAGCGAATTAGGGCTTGCAAATACTTCTTTTGGACACTAAAAACCTTTGACACTCCGATGGGTTTGCATTTTTGTTGGAGAAACTCTCTAATTAAATATCAGAACATAGTATTTCGGAATCTTCTTTGTGAGAAAATGTCTTGACTTGGGTACTATATTACCAAAAGGTTAGATACTCATTCAATGACTTTCTGGTTTGGTGCGCAGGTTGTTGCTCTTGTCTGCAATTTTTCTGCTTCACATAATTCATCAACTGCAAGGCTGAATCATTGGGAATTGGAAACTCTGTTTCATGAGTTTGGACATGCTCTTCATTCTTTGCTTTCAAGAACGGTATTCTAGAAATACCTTATGACTCGGAAGACAAGCTATATCACCTCCTCTTCCTTGCGACAAATTCATAATACATTTTTCATATTTTCTTGTAGGTTTACCAACACTTTTCAGGTACCAGGGTGGCTCTTGATTTAGCGGAAGCACCTTCAAACCTTTTTGAGTGAGTTGAATGCTATGATTATTATTCCATCATTCTTTCATCTGATGAAAATCTTTGTAGAAATATATGAAAGACAATGTAGTTGAATGAATATGTTTGGCATGATACTTCTTAATTGTCGCAACTGTCAGAATTATCAGAGTCTATTTTTGGGATATTGATGAGAAAATGTTTTCTGTTGATATGGCAAGGTACTATTCATGGGATTACCGAGTTTTGAAGACATTTGCCAAACATTATTCAACTGGTGAAAGCATCCCTGAGAAACTGGTAGAGTCAATGCAGGGTGCCAGAAAGATGTTTGCTGCAACTGAATTGCAACGTCAGGTTATTGTCCAAGGACCTTCGTGGATAAAACAATAATGATCACTTTAAGTGTTCAGAAGAGAAGACGAGAAAACCACAAAGAAGGAATACTGACCAATGTTTGCTTGCTTGTTTCCTGTTATCAGATTTTTTATGCTGTTATTGACCAAACATTCTTTGGGGAACAGCCAACTCCACCAACAAGTTCTATTGTGGCAGATCTGAAAAGACAATATACTAGTTGGAAGCACGTGGATGGCACACACTGGGAGGCCCGATTCAATCACCTCCTAAATTATGGTGCAGGTAACTTCAAAATTATCAGCCTCATCCACAAACTTGAACCTCTTTGAGCTTCAGAAGTATCTCAAATGTGAAATTTTGAAACATTATTATTAATAATATCCTTTTTGTGTACAATTTCGTTTTCATGGCTGATAAAATGCACTTGTCTTGCAGGTTATTATAGCTACTTGTATGCCAAATGTTTTGCCGCAACAATATGGCAGAAACTGTGCCAGGAGGATCCACTATCATTAACTACGGGAACTGCACTAAGAACAAAATTCTTACAGCATGGGGGAGCTAAAGAACCTTCCCATTTGTTAAGTGGTCTTGTAGGAGATGGGATCCTAAGGAATTTTAATGGAGGAATGGTTCCTGATATTTCCTGTCTTTGTAATGAAATGAAGTTGGAAAAGGTATAGAGAACAGACCTTGTTGTGTTCCATTTGAGTTAACAAGAACTAGTCAACTAAATAGCAAAGGAAGGAATGAAATGGAGGGGTCTGAAGAAAAGAAGAAGGTGAGCGAAGAGGCAAAACTATGGCACGGCTCTTGTCGGAGGCAATGTAGGACGCAAATGTCAAACGTGGGCTGACAGCTGCAGAGATTTCATTCTGGAGTTGGCGAGGCAAATGTGGAGTAGCAATTTTTATTCATTTTCTGATGGATATTAATAAGTTTCCTTGAACTGTTATTCTTACCCATCCATGTGAATTTTGTAGCATACGCTGAATAATTAATGAAGCCATTTGATTCGAATAAACCTTAAGTAAAACAATTCTTCACTATGTCCTTGAGTAATTTAGCACCTAGCCATGAAACACCAGAATCTCTCCTGAAACAGAAAACTATAATATGAGGCTGTCTTACATATGAAAGAAAGGGGTCTTGCACAGTTTTAATCAAACTTACTATGGTGAATGGCGCAGAAGAATATCTTGGAATAACATTCCCACCATTGTTGATAAGAACAACATATTTGGCCAAAGACGAGCAACAATTGCAATAATATAACTTGGATATATAAAATAGTACTTATAAGATTGAAAATAGATACATTCTTGTTTTTCAAAGATTGCCTCTGGAGAGTAACAACATATTCTAATCTATATACCTAAACTCCCAGCATATTCTAATCTCTTACTCCTCCTAGTTCTCATTCCACCCTCCCATTCCCTTACATAAATTGCACGATACTATTCCATACCTAAACTCCCAACATATTCTAATCTCTTACTCCTCCTGGTTCTTCTTCTTCTTCTCTTTCTTCTTGAGCTCATTCTTGTTGATCCTTGAAACCCCAAATGGGATACAAATATGTATCTCATGTTTAGGGTAGACGGGCTCATTGCAAAGTAATTTCTCACCACATAGCTTGTGAGTCTTGTCATGAATCGTATCAAAGTGCTCAGACAAGCTTTTCCTGCTGTCAAATGAGCTGTTACCTTTGCAATGAATCTTTTGATAAGAAACATCCATAGAAAACACTCAAAAATCCACAGAAGATAAGCCTCACTAGAAAAGCTCAAATTGTTTATGAGAAGAGTTGATATGGGGCTTCAACTTTCAATAATAGCGGGCATATATAAATTAGCAAAGCATTGGAGCAATTTGCAACAACTAAGAGATGCTTTTACACTGATATATGCAGATATAGGAAAAAGTAGGCTTATCTCCTGTGGATTTTTGAGTGTTTACTATGGATATTTCTGATCAAAAGGTTCATTGCAAAGGTAACAGCTCATTTGACAACAGAAAAAGCTTGTCTGAGCACTTTGATACGATTCATGACAAGACTCACAAGCTATGTGGTGAGAAATTACTTTGCAATGAGCCCGTCTACCCTAAGCATGAGATACATATTTGTATCCCATCTGGGGTTTCAAGGATCAGCAAGAATGAGATCAAGAAGAAAAAGAAAAAGAAAAAGAACCAGGAGGAGTAAGAGATTAGAATATGCTGGGAGTTTAGGTATAGAATAGTATCGTGCAATTTATGTATGGGAATGGGAGGGTGGAAGGAGAACTAGGAGGAGTAAGAGATTAGAATATGCTGGGAGTTTAGGTATAGAGATTAGAATATGCTGTTACTCTCCAGAGGCAATCTTTGAAAAACAAGAACGTATCTATTTTCAATCTTATAAGTACTATTTTCTACATCCAAGTTATATTATTGCAATTGTCGCTCGCCTTTGGCCAAATATGTTGTTCTTATCAACAGTGGTGGGAATGTTATTCCAAGATATTCTTCTGCGCCATTCACCATAATAAGTTGTGCTTAAAAAAACCCTACATCAATCCATATCCACTACGTTTCAAATCAGACAATTCCTACAAACTATAGATGTCTACAAAAGATCACAAGAGATCTGCATTAAAGTAACTCCTCAAATGACATACAAGTCTAGATGGGAAAATGTTCTTGTGAGCAGTAACTTTAACCTGATTCCACACAGGTTTGGAAAGCCTTCTCAACATCTTATAATACTACACACAGAGAGAGAGAGAGATAGAGAAACCTAAGCAAACTCATGGCAGGAAGCTATAAGTTGATCAAGAACACCAAGGTTTGCATGAGGAACAGAATTTCCTTTGATATATGTCATTTTCCGGACCTGAAACTAAATTTTAGTTAATTAACAAAAAGACAAGCATAAAACACAATAAATGCAAATGAGAAAGAAATTTAAGTGACATGCAATGTAACAAAGCCCAATTTCATTTGCAAAGTAAAGCAAATGAGAAAAAATAAAAAAAGTGCATCCATAGTGCAAACTTAGCTTCCATATTCTGGCATCTAGAACTTACTGCCCTAACTCCCTACCCCAGAAAAGATTCAGAAAACAAGAAAGTCGAGTTTCACCAAACAACAATCAAGTTACCTCATCATTTGGTGCCCCTTGCAGAACACAAGATAGAGTGTGTGGGTCTGTTGTTATACGAAACCCCTTCTCGTTCATGGTACCCCTGGGCCTCCACGAGTCCTTTGAAACTACAGATGTTGAACGATAGATGGGCTTAAGAAGATGGTGCAAATTTCGAGGCATATGTGACGCTGGGAAAATGTCCACAGTACCCGGGTCATTGACGATATTTTGATTGAACCTAAACCAAAAACAAATGCATTTGAAGCAAAAGTAAAGTCAATTAGTCAAGCTCTTGATTTAAAAGCAAAAATGAAAAGCATGGTACAGCATCAGCAAGCAGTTAAAATTATATCTCCACAACATTGCAAAACTTGAATAAGATACTTTTGGCCCTAGGCTCTAATGGAAAATGGGCAGTGTGGGCCTAAGCTGTGTCTCTGGTTCAAATCTTACAAGCACAATAATTGTGTGGCAGCATTAGTCAAACAAACCAGTAGAAAATAACTTATTTTCCTAAACCTGGTAGCAGGCCTAAAAGTTCTAATTTGCAGTTAACAATTGGCACAGAGGAACGCCCAAAAAAGAAAAGAGAAAAAACAATAAGATTAGTAGAATGAGTGTCACTTAAAAACAAATTTGAATATAATTTAAATAAATAAGTGTACTTACTGTCTGCACAATTGGGAAATTTCTATACTCAGCCGGTTCACTCTATCTACATTCTCTGCAAAGCAAAAGTGAGGAGTTATTTAGCTGCAACAAAATCCCTGCTGTAACAGCAGCATAAAATGACAAGAAGAGAGCAAGTACCAGCAGAAAGATGAATCCCACTCCTCTCAAAGTCAAGGTGTAGGTAATGCGCGACCCTATGAGCTTCGTTGGTGAGCAAGTTGCCCTCCTGCTCAGCTTTAATCACGGCATTATATAAAGTATGATTTGTATTTAGATACTGTAAGACAATGATGAAAATTTTCAAATCAGATACTGGCAATGGCTCATGACTAAAATACAATTTATATACATAACAAAACCGTGAGTAAAAAGTTAATAACACTTGCAAAGACGATTCACCGTCACCTCACATGTAGATATTCATTAACTCTTATTGAAGCTTTGATCGCCTCCTCAACAAATTCCCTAATAAACAATCAAGTGAAAATCGACAATGAAATACCGAAACATCAAAAACTACAACAACAAAAAAAGTCAAAAAATTCAGAGAATAATAACCTGTCAGGATGAGTTTGTCTACAAAGCTCCGCGGAGTCAATGACAGAACAGACCTATGCAATTAGAGAGTATAACAAAGAATTAGTCCAACAACTCTTAAAAAAAGAGAATTAGACAAACTGTGAGACCTTACTGTGTTAGAAATCTCATCCATGGCTCTTATTATTTCCGCTGAGGAAGGCATCCCTGAAATGTATGCAACCAGCTCTCCGGACCTAAAAACAAAAACAAAACGAATGAACATGGGGAGACTGATGGAAATCAAAATGCCATGAATATTGGGATTTTCAAAGTTTGGACCTTTCGATAGCATCGTCGACGAAACGTCGAAAGCCTTTGGGGGTTTTTAAGTGGTCGAAGCCATAGAGACCGGTGGCGGTGGAGAAGGCGTACTGGCGACGGAGAAGGCGTACTGGCGACGGGTCGTAATAGGGCCTGGATAGCCGAATATATAACCGGGTTTGAACCGGAGCTTTGGGAAAGACCGGCGGAGGAGGCTGAGCATTGTTTTTCCGGTGGCGCCGTAGTGAGGTAGGTCTGCGGAGGTTTTTTATGTTCAGTATGTGTTCGACGGACCAGAAATCCAACTGGTTGGGCCGTGGATGTCAAATTTAGAATAACGATAAAAGAGACTTATATTTTGACAATTTTCACTGTAGTAAAAGAAATGTTACATGCTTTTAAGATAATTTCCACATATTGATTAATCAATATTATCATCTAATTAAATCATACCCAACTCAAAAGTCATGTAACACTTACTTATCCATCATATCATCAATCAAAACAACCAACAAACTTACACATCAAATTATACGTTGAGTCCTTATTTTAAAGGCATCAAGTTGGTGATTAGTAATTCTATTATAATTTCCTTTCCGAAAAATAAAATAAAATAAAAATTATCTGCTCGGATAACATATTTCAATAATGTAATTGACCTTGTTATCTTTCTCTATGTTTTTCAATTATTGCACTAATAAAAATCCATGATCAAGTTGCGATAAATAAAAAATGTATCAAATATCAAAGATTTAATACTGAAGCTACATCTTTAAAACAGAACCTAAAAAAATATCTTAAAATGTTTGGGAATAAGAAGAAATGTGACAAATTTTTATAGATAAACTGATGGCAAAAACCAAATTGGAGGTTGCTTCAACTTCTTCATCAGGGTCTTAACATGTGCAGACTTTAAAATCTTTTGACTTGAGACATTATACACCCCAAAATCTGTAAACGGACAATATCTTACCACACGATCACAATCAGCGTAGAAGTATATGCAATTCGACTCACATCCTTGAATTTTTGAAGCCATGACAGATATTGAAGAGTTATCACCCACAAACAAAGCAAAATCACCTAAGTCGTTTTTCTCAATCCACTCATGCTTATCATAATTCAGTTTGAAAATTCTAAATCCACTTGTCACACGACAATGATATGTATAAGTACTATAGCGGTGAACCAACAATAACTCTTCTTCATTTGAACCCACAAAGTATGCCTTCATATATCTTTCTGTTTCAGAACGAGGTGCCACCTGATTTATATTTAAGATGCGCTAAGTAGTATATTCAAAAGTAATAAGCTGGCTCTTAGAAGATGAAACAACATAACTTGTGTCTCCAATTTGAGCAATATCTTCATAAAGGGACCATATTTCATAACCAGTTCGATCAAAGTATGTCCATTTATTGTCTCCAAGTCTAATAAAAGCCAATTCACACCTTGGCTCATATATTATCGCAACAATGCAATCATTTGCATTTGATATTGGATCTGCTGAAATCGTCGCCTTGTAAACAAAATATTCACAATGTTTAGCATGAGCACTTCTGCGGTATTGACCTGGAGGATTTAGTGGAGGCAGACGAATGATAAAATTTTCTTTCTCTTTTCTCCCCTTAACCATGAATGATGGATTTATTAAGGTTACCACAAAATTTTCATCGCAAACTATTAACCATCCTTTTGAAGACCCACAAAATCGCTTCTTCATCCATCTTAACTGCATTTTGAGGACCTTATCATTTGTCACATCACATAAATTCCATGTATCTTTTTGTCTATCAGGAATCAAGAGCATTGGAACACTGTCGATTTGCTTATTCTTTGATACCCAATACCATGACTTGCAAACAGCAGCGAATCGTAAAGAATCTAAATGTAACACTAGTCTCTTGAAAACTAAATCTAAAAGCTCCTCAGGCAAACTTTCCCAATCTGAAAGAAAAAAGAAAAAAAAAAATCAATTAGAGATGCAATGAAGAAGAAGTAGATGTGTAATTAATCTTGGCCATAGCTTTATAAAAATAGCCGTATGATTTGAAACATAGAAAGTAAAAATTGATGGAACAATACAAAGATATAAATTAAAAAAAAGAAAACCAGTAAAAAAGAATTTTAAACTAAAAGGTGCATTAATTCCTGTTTTTCTTTTATTAGAAGATAGGAATGTTATAACTAAAAAACAATCAAATTACAGAAGCAAACGGAGAACAAAAAATCTAAAGACAAATCTAGAGGGATGTAACCTTACACACACAGTGATATAAAACAATATATATAAATAAACAACATCCTAAAAACTAATTAAGATGGCCGCTTAGGGTTTTTAAGGGATGTCATGCAAATGACCCATTAGTGCAGTGATTTAGAGTAATTGCTCCCTCAAGTAAGGTAACAAGTTTAATATATTATTAGCATTCTCAATAGGAAAGGTCCTTAAAAAAAAAAAGACGTGTCATTCATTAGTTGACAAACACGGAAGGATTCCCCACGAATATTGTATGATAGGATTATATAACATGTCTAGCCAAAAATTCAACTCAACTGAGTATTAGATTAGAGTCATGCTTTTCTCCTTTTCTTTATTTTCCTTAATTCGGATATAATTTTTTGTTTTATTTTACCAAATATTCATCAAATTTATAGGATAGGATACATGAATTATCTAGAAATATTTGCAATAGCAAGATACAATATAAAAGGCTCGCATATTTACAATACTAAATATAGCATGATAACAACTTGCAAACAAACAAATTTACAAAGTAAGTTTTGTTGAAGAAAACATACCTGATTCCATTGATTCAAAACACAGACGAGATCTTTTTGCTGGCTTTGAATGTAAAGCAATAGACTATAGAAAGAAAAGAACCCCTTATTTATATACAAGTCCTCCTAATTCCTAATAAGAATAGGAGGAATTGCAAGAGTTTTATCTTTTACATTCAAGGCCCAAAAGAAAATAGTCAAACAAAACGACGGCCCACAAAACAAAAGTGATTTCGGTCAGTTGATGAATAAGGCTAAATAAGTACAATTGACTTTTCGTTTGAACTTACGGTAGTCCCGTCTGCAGGGGAACGGCGCCAATTACATGCTTAGCGGGAAGCCCGTTTCAAACCCACAACCGAAAAAACACATAAATTCGTGTCACTCTCTGACGCTCTCTTTTCCCGCGAGATAATCTCCCCCAGCAACCCCCTCTCTCTCTCTCTCTCAATCCCATGACGAATCCGAATCCGAATCTAAACCCGAACTGTTTTTTCCCCCATGTCGAGCTCTCCTCCACCTTCTTCAAAGCCACCCCTGATTTCCGACCCCGACGGCAAATTAGACTCCGCAACGACGTCGTCCGTGTCCTCTCCAACTCAACCCTCTCCCTCCAGAGCTAAACTCCTCAAAATCCCCCCCATCCCGATTCGACGAAGCCCCAGACACACGATCCACGAAGACGAAGAATTTGAAGAATTCGAAGAAGAAGATGACGACGACGATGACGACGACGACGAAGAGTATGAGGACCAGGTTCGTACGGAACGTAAAACAGATGATGCGCCTATCGTGTTGGCATCGTCGCTCGGCCTCAATCACATTCGGACTCGATCGGCTCCGTCGCCGCTTCGATTCTCTTCGTCGGTCTGCACGCCTTCGAATTTCGGTGACGAGTCGAATAAGGTCAAGTACACGGTCAAGCCAAAACCCAAATTTACGCCCATACAACCAGGTATTTACGTAACTTTAATGTGGTAACGTTTTAATATTCTTATTTTATTGGATTATAATTCGTTCTTTTCCGTCTAATAATGAATTCGATCATCAGGTATTTGTGAGTTTAATTTATTTTTTGTTAATTTCTAATTTTCAATTTCTTTATAGTGAAACCTGTGCACTGGAATCAATCAAAATCGCTCAGAAATCCTTCACTACTCAATCCAGTCTCGGAGGTAAAGAAATTGCCAATGAATTGCCTTATGTATATATATATATATATAGTTGGTTGGAGAAATGTAGGTAGCTCACGAGCTTGACAATGATGTGGTTTGTATGTAATTGTATATATTGGTAGGGTAACCATGCAGCCTTTTCAAAGGAAATGCAGTCGCCGCGTTTTCAGGCAATACTGCGTGTTACGAGTGGGCGAAAGAAGAGAACACCTGACATTAAAAGTTTCTCTCATGAGCTCAACTCTAAAGGAGTTCGACCATTTCCCGTGTGGAAGTCTCGCGCATTTGGACATATGGAGGTAAATTTATATTTATATCATATAAATTTTTATGCCTTACAGTATTTTATTTTATTCTTTGCCCGATCTCATTAAACTGTGTCGCTGTTGTAAAATTGTTTAGGAGATTATGGTGGCGGTCAGGGCAAGATTTGAGAGATTAAAGGAAGATGTTGACTTTGATTTAGGTGCATTTGCTGGTGATTTGGTGGGAATACTTGAAAAGTCTTCGGAGTCTCACCCTGAATGGAAAGAGAATTTTGAGGATTTGTTGGTTGTTGCCCGGCGGTGTGCAAAGATGCCGCCTGGTGAATTTTGGGTGAAGTGCGAAGCCATTGTTCAGAAATTGGATGACCGGCGTCAAGAGCTACCAATGGGGGCCCTCAAACAAGCCCACACCCGTCTTCTTTTTATTCTCACTCGGTGCACACGGCTTGTGCAGTTCCAAAAAGAGAGTGGTTATGAGGAAGAGCACATTCTCAGTCTTCACCAGCTCAGTGATCTTGGTGTTTACCCTGAACAAATTTTGGAGGCTGCACAGCAGAGCTTTAGTGGCCAACTGGGTGGTAAGGATGCAAATGAGAAGCACATGAATAAGTCCCATGAGCAGGAAAAAGTTAGTGCTGCTGATGATGTGGAGGTTGACACTGCCAAAAGCGTTGAATCTACAGGCAGCTATAGGATGTCATCTTGGAAAAAACTTCCATCTGCTGCTGAGAAGAATCAGAAAGGCCATGATGCTGCTGATACACCACCAAACGACAAATCAGACCGTTTGCATGCCAAAGATGACACAAAAACTTGTGGGGACTATAGTAGTGACAATGTTGATACTCCATCATGCCGACCTGAACCCCCAGAGGTGTCTGCAAGTGCACAAAGAATCTCTTGGGGATTATGGATGGACCAGCAGAATATTTCATACGAGAATTTGATGATCTGTCGCATATGTGAGGTTGAAATACCAACTGTACATGTAGAGGAGCACTCCCGAATATGTACGATTGCTGACAGGTGTGACTTGAAGGGTTTAACTGTGAATGATCGACTTGAAAGAGTTGCTGAAGCTCTTGAAAGGATAATGGAATCTTGGACACTAAAAGGCACTGATACTCGAGGAAGTTTTGATGTTTCAGGAGAATATACAACAAGGATGCATGAAGATTTAGATGAGTTGTCACCACCAAAACGAAATGACTTGTCTCCTCGTTTCTCTGAAGGCATTCTTGATTGCGTTCCTGATGCTGACAATTCTTTTGTCATGGAAGATCTGAATGTTTTGCCTGACATGCCATGTGACATGCGTTCTTCTTTGACACCTGAACAAGGCACCAGAACCTCGTCGGCAGGAAGCTCGACACCAAGATCACCACTATTAACACCAAGAACCAGTCAGATTGAAATGCTGTTGAGTGGATGGAGAGCAATACCAGAACTTGAGAGTTATCAGCAGGTGACCCACTTCTATTTTCCTTCTGACCAGAATTCTGCTGTTACTTATTTTTCTCTCAAAGATGAAGTCAGTATACTATGTTTTAAGTTTGTATTATTGCTCTGCAACTGAAAGTCTTGTTGAATGCATTTTTGGTTCATCTTGGTTGCTATAGACACTCTGCTCCCTTCATGTTCATATTTTGATTAGAGCATGGATTGACAGATTCATAAGCTACTGGATATCGCCCGTTCCATCGCAAATGTTAGCAATTGTGAATACAGTGCATTGGAGTACATGCTTGAACGACTGGAAGACCTAAAATATGCCATCCAGGATAGGAAGGTCGATGCCCTTGTTGTGGAGACTTTTGGAAGGCGTATAGAAAAATTATTGCAGTGAGTGGAAGCCATAATCTATTACTGCATGTCTCTTGTGGTTTGTACAATTGTGAATCCCCTCAAAAGATTTTATTGATTCAAGCATTAACAAAATTGTCTCATTTTTATCTTCTGTCGTCATTATATTTTTCATATTTCTTCAAATGATTGGTTAATTATTTGAAGTCCAGTAAAAGCATCTCTGATTATAATGATAATTCTGAAATTTACAGGGAAAAATATGTACATCTTTGTGGGCAGATAGAAGATGAGAAAGTGGATTCATCAAATGGTATGGCTGACGAAGAAAGTTCAGTTGAAGATGAAGCAGTTCGTAGTCTGCGTGCCAGCCCCATCAATCCGTGTTCAAAGGATCGAACATCTATTGAAGATTTTGAAATAATAAAACCAATAAGCAGGGGTGCATTTGGGCGAGTTTTTCTTGCCAGAAAAAGAGCGACTGGTGACTCATTTGCTATAAAGGTCTGTTTATTTCTATGTGTTTTCAGCCATGGAAAATGCTTCCATCTTTTAATTGCAAGTAAATGTTTCAAGATAAGTCTGGTTTCAGAACTGATTCTGGTGGTACATTTCTGAAGGTATTAAAGAAGGCTGATATGATTCGTAAAAATGCCGTTGAAAGTATTTTGGAGGAGCGTAACATCCTTATATTGGTTCGCAATCCTTTTGTGGTGAGTGGGCCCCCAAAATGTACAGTTCACTTTAAGAATGCATTGCATTTGGAAATAATTTCTAATATGTACTTCTGATGATGAGCAGGTCCGATTTTTCTATTCGTTCACATGCAGGGAAAACCTGTATCTGGTCATGGAATACTTAAATGGTGGAGATCTGTACTCTTTACTACGAAATCTAGGCTGCTTAGATGAAGATATGGCCAAAGTATATATTGCAGAAGTTGTAAGGGAATACTAGTATCTTTTGTTCCATTTTCCTCTCCAGATTCACCTTTTCATATCTATCTCTCTAAATTTTTTCTCATAGATGGTATAACAGTACAAGTAATCTTTTGTTTTTTCTTTTCTTTTTAAAGGTTCTTGCTTTGGAGTATTTGCATTCATTAAATGTTGTCCATAGAGACTTGAAGCCAGACAACCTGTTGATTGGTCAAGATGGTCACATCAAGGTCAATATTTTGCAGTCTTAGTTCTTTTACATAATTCCCCCCTCTTTTATATAGTTGGAGATAAGTTTGGCCATAGTAAAAGCATTCTGGTATTATATCATGCATCTGTTTTTTTTGGGTATCATCTGCATACGTTCTGCCATAAAGTGTTTACTTGTCACTTCTCACAAATATCTAATCCCTTATGTTACAGTTGACAGATTTTGGGCTCTCCAAGGTTGGTCTAATCAGTAGCACTGATGACTTATCAGGTCCATCAGTTAGTGATACTGGTTTTCTTCGAGATGATGAACCAAAAACTCAGCCTTCATCAGAAAGGACTCAGCGCCAGAAACATTCAGTTGTTGGCACCCCTGATTATTTGGCACCTGAAATACTTCTTGGCATGGGGCATAGTGCAACTGCTGATTGGTGGTCTGTGGGTGCTATTCTTTTTGAGCTGCTTGTTGGTCTTCCACCATTCAATGCAGAACATCCACAGGTATGCAGTCTAACTATGGTGGGCATTAATTTAAATTGTTTTTGGACTGCTGGGCGTAATTTTTTTTTTCTTTTCGTTTTCTTCTTTTCCCTCTTTATTGAATGTAATCATCTTCTGTTATAAAAAACAGGTCCTTAC